TATATATATATATATATATATATATAATCATCCCAAATTTCATGCATGCTTATATATACATATACATATATACCAACCCATGCATAAATATACTCACATATTCATATAACCACATAATCACATAATAATTACCTCATGTGTGTAACCAAAATCCGGTTATCACATGCAACAATTGGTTAGTCAGTTAAATTATTTTAAATTTACTATATTATTTAATATATGTTATTTTATGTTATCATTCATTTTAATCCTTATATAGATGTTATTGGTGAGGTTGTAGCATGTGATACAATGGTGAATCTTCCAGATGACAAAGGAAAAGCGAAGAGACGAATGCAGATTGAGATACAGGACTTGGAGTCAGTATTTTTATTTTAATAAACTAACGCTAATATTGACACAATATATAATTTCTTTGTTACAATTTATTTAGGGGATTTAAACTGCATGTCACATTGTGGGATGCTTTTGCTGAGCAATTCAATGATTATGTTTCTAATCATAAAGATGAGGGTGTTGTCGTTGCGTAATTCAATTCGCAATGGTCAAGATTTAACGAGGTTTGTGTAACTTATAAAATATGTATTTCATTTAATAAACGATATATTGACTTCAATTATTTGTTCTTTTTCAGGAAAAAAAAAACCTTCTCTTTCTAATTCATTTAATGGTACGAGGTTGTTCATCAATTCTGAAATTGATGAAATCAAGGATTTCAGAAATAGGTTAGCAAATTTTATTTGTTTATATATCTGATCATCTTATTTTTTTTAATTTACATTGTTCCATAACTATATTTCTGATTAAACAGTCTGCTTGAGGAGAGTAGCGAATCTAAATTGTCACAACAGCTTACAATGCTTTTTGGATTGTCTTATTCATATCGTGAAGATTTTCTAGACAACCACAATAAAGCAAATATTGTTGAAATTAGCGAAGCTACTGAGGTACTTATTATTTAATATAATTTTTATTTATTCAGTCAATGCATTATATCATAATATATCCTACTTTATACAGGCGAAGTCCTTGACTATCTTAGGCACAGTTAAGGCTTTTAGGAAAGACATTCCTTGGTGCTACAAGGGTCGCAAAAAGTGTAGTAGAAAGGTTCGACCTACGTACATTATCACAGATAAAGATGATGGTTCAGGTTAGGTTGAAGAGAGAAAATTTTGAATGTGATTTTGATAGATGCAGAGGGCAAAACACTAATGGTTTACTAAAGTAAGTACTAATTACCTTACAATGTTTATCTATATCTTTTATATTATTATATTAATGTTAAAATTAAAATTATTTAGATTCAAAATTCCTTTGAGAGTTAAAGATGATATTAGAATTGTATCGTTAACCTTGTTTGATCGGGAGGCCAACAAAGTTTTGAATAAATCTGCAACATAATTAAATGAAAAGATTAGAGAGGTAATTTTTTAATTGTCTTAATTGTTTTTGTTAATTTTCAAATTTTATAAATAATGTTTATTAATGTACAACTTATTGGAGTTTTTTTTCCAGCATGGTGATTTAGATATGTTTCCGAAGGAGTTGAATGTTTTGCTTGATAGAAAATTTGCCATAAAGATCGAAGTAAATAATTACAACATAAAAAACAGTTGTTTTGTTTACGGTATTTCAAAATTAACTAATGATAATAACATTTTGAATGAGTTGGATTTGAGGTTTAGTGCTCAACAGGTAATAATTATCATTACCGAAACTATCATTCAATTGAGCTGCAAATCTTTGGTAGTCTAACATCTTTTTACAATTTATTATGTAGTCTGCTGAATCTGATTCTGTAAATGGTCATTCAACAGATTTAGGTTCTCAAGATAAGTTAAAGGTATTATAGATGCAACTTTTAATGTAGCTGGTAAATTTATTCAATATTAAAGAGTTTCTAAAATAACATATGTCACTATAATCTTATTTGAAGGATGTTTTTTCATATACGGGTGAGAATGCAACTCCTGGCAATGTGGATAAGAGCACATCAGATAGTCTGGAATCACAAGAAAAAATGTATGATGAAAAGATATGTAAAAGTGTTGATCTGAAGCGTGATCTTGATGAAGTTTATGATGCCGATAATGAAATGAAAAGGTCTGCAACAGAATCTCCTAAAATCCCAAATTTAAGAAGTCATTTGTTTTATCATGATGGAAAACTATTTAATTGTGTTGTTTACGGTTTTCATTTTGGTTGGATTGTCTTTTTAGCACAAATTTCTAAATTCTTATGTTTATTTGTTTATTTACTTTGTTTCATCTTTTATTTGGATTATATTATTAATATTATAATAATGAGTATCCAATGGTGTATGTGTTGCTTGCCCCAAAAAGTGTTAATGAAAAATCTCCTTTTTTGAGAAGGAAATGAGTTGGCATGGGCTCACTGCCTTTTCAATACCTTCCACCAAAGAGTGTGGAGAGATAGAAGATGTGGGTGCCCTGCTTTTTCTGGATGGGGCAGGGTCCTCTTTTTCTTTTGACCCTGATCTCACATAAGCCTCTCCTTGGTTTTTATCTCTTCTACCCAAGCTCTAAACTTCATTTTCTCTCTCTACACTTTGAGGAAACTCACCCTTGTGGGTCTCCTCCCCAATACTTTGTTCTTTAGACCCCTCACTACCCATGGGTTGCTTCTTGGGTAAGGTCTGTCGGTTCTGACAGTCCTATAGAAGCACAATATGCTCTAGGTACCTCATTATCACTCCTAATATGTCCCCTTAGCTTCAAGGGGAGTGGCATATGATTTCTGAAATTAGAGAGATAAGTGGATATCATGAGTGAATCCATGCAGAGCCTCTCCATAGTACATGAGTGAATCTAAAGTCTTCTTTTTCAGACTTAGCTTACTCGAACTCTGAAGTATTCTTTTTAGACTTGGCTCACCTAAACTCTGAAGTATTCTTTGTTTGATCGTGTGGTAATTGATTTTATTACTTTGTTTCATCGTTTATTTTTATTACATTTGGGAGATCTTCTTTTCCAGACGGAGCACCATGCAGAGCCTATGCATAGTACATGCAGAGTTTCTGGCTAGCTTATACAAAGCTCTGCATGAATGCATTTATAGTTCGTCTTGATGGCTCTAGTCCACCTCTGATCCCCGCTATGGTCTTCTTTGATACACAAACTCTAAACTCTCAAGTATTATTTGATTGTTTATTTTGATTATATTATTTCTGGTTTGTCTTGGTCGCTCTAAACCTCATTTTCCATAAATTTCAATTATGGTTCTTCTATTGTTATGATAATGATCAATGTATAGTCATTATTCAAAGCTATCCTTCAAAGTTATACTTCAGAGTTCTTTCAAAAGTACAAGTCTGAAGAGTCATTCTTCAGAGTTTTACTTCAGACTTATTTCAAGTGTACAAGTTTGGTGTCATTCTTCATAGTTATTCTTCAGATTTAGAAGTATGAACTTTGAAGTCTTCTTTTCCAGACTTACCTCACTCCTAATTAGCTCACCTCAACTCTGAAGACTTCTTTTGCTTTCTTAGCTCACCTGAACTTTGAAGTCCTTTTTTCCAGACTTGGCTCACCCGAACTCTGAATTTTGAACTCTAAAGCTTTCTTTTCAGACTTATAACGCTGAACTCTGAAGTCTTCTTTCTCGAAATTAGAAGTCTAAACTCTGAAGTCTTCTTTGTTTGATCATGTGGTAATTGATTTTATTACTTTGTTTGATCGTTTATTTTGATTACATTATTTCTATAATTTAATTTCCATAAACTTCAATTATGGTTATTCCATTGTTATGATAATGATCAATGTAGAAGTCTGAAATCTGAAGTTTTCTTTTCCAGACTTAGAAGTCTGAGCCTGAAGTTTTCTTCTTCAGACTTAGAAGTCTGAATTTTGCAGCCTTCTTTTTCAGACATAGAAGCTCAAATTTTGGAAAAGAAGACTTTAGAGTTCAGACTTCTAAGTCTGAACAAGAGGACTCCAGAATTCCGACTTCTTTTCCAGACTTATCTCACCCAAACTCTGAAGTGATCTTGATTAGACTTAGAAGTCTAAACTCTTAAATTTTCTTTTTAGACTTATAAGTCTTAACTCTGAATTTTTCTTCTCCAGACTTAGAAGTCTGAACTCTGAAGTCTTCTTTTTCAGACTTATAAGTCTAAATTATGGAGTTTTCTGCTTCAGACTTAGAAGTCTGAACTCTGAAGTCTTCTTTTTTAGACGTATCTCACCCGAACTCTGAAGTCATCTTCTACAGACTTACAATTTTGAACTCTTAAGTCTGAACTCTGAAGTCTTTTTTGTTTGATCGTGTGGTAATTGATTTTATTGCTCTGAAGTCTAGAGTTATTCTTTAGATTTATTCTTCATAGTTATTTCAAGAGTACAAGTCTGGAGTCAATCTTCAGAGTTTCACTTCAGAGTTGTTTCAAGAATACAAATCTGAAGAGTCATTCTTTAGAGTTATACTTTAGAGTTATTTCATGAGTACAAGTCTGGAGTGAAACTCTAAACACTTGGTCTTGTAAGCACAATTCATATATCTAAAGAAAAGTCTTGCAAGCAGTTTAGTTGGACTCATTTGATTGACACGTGTCATCTTATTCAATCAAACCCACTAATTTAGGATGTGGTTCATTTAATTGTTAGGTTAATCATATCGCGTGTTAATTGATTCCCGAAAAACACGGGAAGTTTAAGTTCAATTTACTGATAAAGTTTCATTTGAGTTGACCATTCCTCCACCCCACTTCATCCATTCCCATTCCAAAAAGTCCTTCTTCGATCTGAAGGTGTGTTAAGCATATAGTCATTGTGGTTACAGACGGGTTCTGTTTCCGATTAGACTAAGAACCTTCCGTCTAAGAAACCTACTTAACTCTCTCATTTTCTTATTATTGTTGTTCCTCACGATTTGTGATCAAATGACTTCATATACTGTAATACCCCACATCTCACATTGCATATAACATATAATTCATTCAAAGAAATACATGTATTATCCCACTAAGGTCCAAAGTACAAGAAACTATAATATAAAATACACAACCCAAAAATTCCAAAATACATGTTCTTGTACTACATAACATTCAACTTTAGAACACATCCATAGATTGATCTTCACATAGTTATGCACATAGGGAAACAAATTATATTTTCCCTTTTCTTTTACTATCAATTTATTCAGCTATTCCTACAATACATATTTAAAACAAAATGAGGGTTAGACCTGAAGGTCTAGTGAGATCCCTCTTTCCATGTAGTTGCAGGGTGAAGATCACCAATACATTATTTAAAATCAACTTTTCACATAATGGAAGCATAAATCCATGATTCATTAAGACCAGCAACCCTCTGGTTGCAAGCACCAGACTTAGAAAGATTTTCATCAATAGAAGGACCAGAGCCCCTCTGGTTCCTCTAACCAGAGCTTCTGGTTATACCAACCAGACCTCCTCTCAAGTTAATCTTCATATAATTATAAAGTCAAGTACAAAGAATGGATAAAATAATTTCCAGGTATAAAAAGTATGAAAGAAGAAGCTTATGTATGACCAGAGCTTCTGGTTCTACTAACCAGAGCCTCTGGCTCAATAACCATGACAAACCAGAGCCCTTCTAGTTCAATGTGAAGACCAACTAGAGGCCCTCTGTTTGTCCTTCTTTGTTAAAGTCATTTGTACAAGAAATTCTTCAAGTTTAAGATAAAATCAAGAAGTCTTATGAATACTTTTTAAAACAAAATCCTTGACACATAGCTTCTATATAATAGATACAGAGCCTCTGGATTTAAGTAAAAGATTTGTAAAAGACTTGTATCATAATCAAACCATTATCCAGAACCCCTCTGGTTCTATATGAGGAACAACCAGAGCCCTTTGGTTCCTTCCAATGAACAACCAAAGCCTCTCTGGTTCCTTATAAATCAAACACTTACCAAAAGCATAGTTTATCCAAATCCATTGACCATAAGCCAAGTTTTCCCTTCTCAATAACATCATTACTATCATTTCGAATAAGAGCAATATTTCTAAGTCCTCAAATCACAAAGAAGTAAGAACTCAAAACTATTACATTCTTAATAGACATAATAGCAAGAGCTATAATAATAATCAAACATACAAATGTCACCCTTATATCCAAAGGTGCACCTCTCCTTAATATGCCACCCTTATATCCGAAGGTACACCTCTCCTTGATATGCCACCCTTATCCCATGGTAACCTCTCCTTCATATGTCACCCTTATTTCCTCATCAAAACCTATAGATTAGTTCCAAAAGAAGACAGACCGAAGTCACAACCTCTTGAATAAACATCCTCTATAGTTTTAATCATCAAAATGAATAGATTAATTCCAAACGAAGACAGACCGAAGTCACAACCGTCTTGAAAGAATATCCTCTATAGTTTTTAACCAATAATGGTTTCAATATAGTTTTATCTTAAAACTTTGAACCTCAAGAACCAACAGTTCTTTTAATATCATTTGTCAAACTCAAAATCTCCTTAAATCCTTAAAATAGGATATCATTCTCAACTGTTTTAAAGAAGCAAAATATTCTTTTTTCCAAGAACAGTTTCCAAAACCCCAGATTTATAAAACTCAACTTCAACTGTTAAAACAGTTTACCATTCTTCATCAAAATCAATCATCAAAACCATGTATTTCAAATAACATCATTTAAAGATTTTAATATCAAAAACTCATCTTAATATGCACAGATTTGAAGGTTTAATCACACAACAACTTCTTCTAGTAAACACAGATTCCTCAAATCACTTTTATGCAGAAATTCTTTTCAAGAACACCTTCACCACCACACACTCTTTTCCTTTTCACAGAGATTTTTCTAAAAGGTAACATAAGATTTATCTTTATCTTCTTTATATATATATATATATATATATATATATCTTAACAAAGGCGGTGGAAGTGTTTTATTATCATAAAATTCTTAAGGCGGTGGGTTTTATTATATTAAAACCTATTCTTTCTTAACCATGAAGATTGCATACCTTCATATTTTAATACTTTCCTCATGTATGCATATCATCCTACGTGCATATATACATATTTTATCATCTTCTCATGTATGCATAGTAACTCATCCACACACACACACACACACACACACACACACACACACATATATATATATATATATATATATACACACGATCCATGTACTTACTTAAATAAACATGCATGTTATCACATATTCACATATAATCACATAAGGGTTACCTCAACCAATGCTGCCTTAAATCCAAGTTATCACATTATCTCCCCCTAAAAAGAATTCCGTCCTAGAATTCATTTAATTAAACAACCAAGGGTATTTAATTCTCATTTCATAATCCAATTCTCACGTTGCTTCTGAACCCTTGTGATAACGCTTTACCAAACTGATTTCTTTGTTCCTCAACACCCTGATTTTTCAGTCAGTCATAGCTTCCGGTGTTTCCATGAAATTCAGTTTACTGTCCAGCTTAATTTTTGGAAGCGGTACTGCTAGACTTGGATCAGCTAAGCATTTTCACATATTTGACACATGAAAAGTACTGTGAATTATGCTGAGCTCTTCCGGTAATTCTAATTGATAAGCCACTGGCCCAACCCATTTTCAAATCTTGAATGGCCCAATATACCTCGGACCAACCTTACCCTTCTTTCCAAACCTCATAATACATTTCCATGGAGATACTTTTAATATCACAAAATCACCCACGCAGAATTCAATCGATTTTCGACGTTTATCAACGTATCTTTTCTGGCTTGCACAAATTTGTTCAATCTTTTCAGAAGTTACTTACACAATCTCGGGACCTGTCAACTGTCTCTCCCCTACCTCATTCCAACATAACGGCGTGCGGCATTTTCGTCCATACAAAACCTCATATGGTGCCGCTTGGATACTGGAGAGCAAACTCTATCAATGGCAAATGATCCTCCCATGATCCCCTGAAGTCAATAACACAGGTTCTCAACATGTCTTCGAGAGTCTGGATGGTTCTCACACTTTTCCCGTTTGTTTGAGGATGATAAGTTGTACTTAGTCGAATTTAAGAACCCAAAGCCTTTTGCAAACTTTCCCAGAACTTCGAAGTAAAACGGCAATCTCTGTCAACAATGATGGATAAAGGAACACCGTGTCTGGTTACGATTTCCGTGATATAGATCTGAGCCAACCTTTCTAAAGAATAGGTTTCTCTTATTGGTAGAAAATACGCAGAGTTGGATAGACGATCTACTATTACCTAGATTGCATCATATCCTTTCGGGGTTCAGGGTAATTTCATGACAAAGTCCATCGTAATGTGATCCCATTTCCAGACTGGAATTTCTAAGGATTGTAGATTTTCATAGGGTCTTTGATGCTCGATCTTAACTTGCAGACAGGTTAAGCATCGTTCTACGTATTTTGCTATGTCTTTCTTTAATCCTGGCCACCAGTAGATTGGTTTCAAATCTTTGTACATTTTATTGGTACCTAGATGAATAGAATAGCGAGACTTATGACTTTCATTCAAAATAGTTTCCCATGTATTCCCATAGAATGGCACCCAAATCCGTTCTTGAAAGCACAGAATTCCCTCATCATTTGATTCCAGGGTGGAAATCATTTTACCCAATTTTTCTGACTTCATGTGATCCTCTTTAACAGTTTCTTTCTGACATTTCAAGATTTCTTTATGAAGATCGGGAGTTAAATTTATTTTCATCGCCATGGTTTTGATTGTTCCACTTCATTCTTTTCTACTTACAGCATCGGCTACCATGTTGGCTTTTCCCGGGTGATAGAGTATTTCACAATCGTAATCATTAACAAGTTCAATCAATCGACGTTGTAGCATGTTCAACTCTTTCTGATTAAACAGATGTTGTAAACTCTTATGATCGATATAAATCTGGCATTTAGTTCCCAAAAGATAATGTCTCCATATTTTCAAGGCAAATACCACTCTGTTAATTCCATATCATATGGTGGGTATTGTTTCTCGTGATCCTTCAGTTGCCTAGACACATATGATATTACTTTTCCTCTTTGCATCAAGACACAACCCAACCCTAGCTTTGGTATACCACAAAGTCTTCTGTTCCATCTGGTAAAGACAAACATTGGGGCACTGCAAAGATGGTCTTTCAATAACTGGAAAGTTTTTTGTTGTTCTTCCTCCCACTGGAACTTGATATTCTTCCAGTTAATTTGGTCAATGGCACAGCTATTTTGGAAAAATCTTGAATAAACTTACGGTAGTAGCCTGCCAATTCTAGAAAGCTTGGGACTTCGGAAGGAGTTCTTGGTGCCTCCCATTTTTCGACTGCCTCAATCTTTGTTGGATCCACTTTTACCCCTGTCTCTGATATAACATGACCTAGGAACTGAACTTCTCTCAACCAGAATTTACATTTAGACAATTTTGCATACAATTTTTCTCTTTTTAGAAGCTCAAGTATTAGGCGGAGATGATCTGCATGCTCTTCTTTAGTTTTAGAGTATATGAGAATATCATCAATAAATACGATAAAGAATTTATCAAGATATTCTCTGCATACCCAATTCATTAAATCCATAAAAGCTGTGGGTGCATTAGTTAAACCGAATGCCATACCTAAGAATTCATGATGTCCGTACCTGGTTCAAAAGACTATTTTGGCAATATCTTCTTCTTTGACTTTGAGCTGATGGTATCCTGATCTTAAATCAAGCTTCAAGAAATAACTAGCTCCCACCAATTGATCAAACAAGTCATCGATCCTTGGCAACAGATATTTGTTTTTGATTGTTAATTTGTTCAATTCCCTGTAACCTATACACATCTGCATAGATCCATCTTTCTTTTTCACAAAAAGGATTGGAGCTCTCCACGGTGAAGTACTGGGTCTAATGAATCCCTTATCAAGTATATCCTTTAACTGAGTAACCAATTATTTTAGTTCTGACGGAGCTAATCGATAGGGTGTTTTAGCTACTGGTACTGCCCCAGGTATAAGATCAATTCCAAATTCAGCAGCTCTATCTGGCGGTAAACTGGATAAGTCCTCTGAAAAGACTTCTGGATATTCACTAACATCGGAATCAGTTATTGCTTTCCTTTTTCTTTCTTTGCATCAACTACATAAGCTAAATATCCCTAACATCTCTTTTGAATACACTTTCGAGCTTTTAGTACATATAACAAACTGGTATGATGATTCTGACGATCACCATAAATAACAACTGACCCTCTATCTGGTAGAGTAATTCTGATCATCTTTCTATTACATAAAATACTGGCCTGATTTTCTGCCAGCCAATTCATTCCCAATACTACATCAAATTCTTTCATCGGCATTGGGAACAGTCGGATCGGTAACTCACACCTCTCAGTAACAATAGCACAGTTATTGAACAAATAATCCACATATACTTAACTATTAGCAGTATCAACTACTAATTTATCGTCAAGTGGCACAAAATTCATGCAAGCACATTTAGCAAAAGATGGTGATATAAACGAAAAGTTTGCACTCGAGTCAAGCAACACCTTAGCATATAGAGAATTTACGAGGAATGTACATGTCACTACATCCGGTGTAGTTTCGGCTTCATGTTTAGTCATCTGAAATGATCGACCCCGCACCCTTCCTTGTCCTCCTCTACCCATATTTGATCTTCCACGAGCACACGAGGTATTGCTTCCCATAGTCAGCTGTGGAGCTTTTAATTGTGGGCAGTTAGGTCGAAGGTGATCTGGTGAGTTGCAATTGAAACATCTTTTAGTCATTGGGCAATTTCTTGACAAATGGTCTGCCTTACCACACTGATAGCATTTCCTCCAATCTGTCTTACAATCGCCTTGGTGAATCTGATGACACCGGAAACAAGCTTTTTCACTAATTTTCTGAACAGGTCTGTTGCCATATGTCACATACTTTGGCCCTCGATAACCTGTTGATGGTCTTTCCCATTTTCTTTTCTCAGTAACCTTTCCTTCTTCCTGTCTGTTTTTATTCCTCTCTGTCACTTCTGTTGCATCTATTGTCAAAGAAAACATAGCCAGATTCATGGCTATCACAAATTCCCGAATTGATGGTTTCAATCCCCAAATATATCTCTCCACATTTCTAGATTCAGATGAGATATAATGCTCGATAAATTGAGAATATTCAATGAATTTCTCTGTATATTCTTGAACAGTTTTGGTACCTTGCTCTAGCTTCAAGAAGTCTTCTTCCATCTGTCTTACAACTGCTTTAGTAAGAAATTGTTCTTTAAATTTATTAACAAACTCTGCCCATGATAATGTTTGCAAGATTTCTATTTTGGCCAATAATTCCACTTCCCACCAGAACAGTGCATTGGACTTCAATATCGAGACAGCGAATCTAACTTTATCCGTCTCTGAACATCGGATAATATTGAATACAAATTCTATCTCCTTGATCCAACACATGGCTTTAACCAGATCTCTTTCTCCAGAAAAGTTTGGTGGCTTGCAAGTTAGAAACGTCTTAATATCTCCCTATTTGTTATTTATGACTGGAACTGATGGATTTATTTCAACTCTTCCAGTTTCGATTATGGCAGGTATCCCCATGATGGAAGTCAAAGTTTCCCTTAACTTTATCATTTCTTCAGCCAACATGTCTCTGGTCACGTATTCAGGCTGAGGCATTTGCTCTTGATTAACATTTTCAGAATTGGATTCTCCATGGTCTACATGAGTTTATGTTTGGCTATTCTTGCCTCTGATTTGCCCTCTTCCTCTGCCTTTGCCTCTGCCTCTACCTCTGCCCTCTGATGTACCAATGGGAGCACGAGCGGGGGAATCCTCTTCAACAATAGGATTGGGGCGGGTGATCCTTTCAGACCTTCGGGATCGGCTAGTCATCTGCAAATTTCAATGTTGATAATCACGTATACACATTCCCAAATACAATAAAGCGTCCAAGTTCAGTTATGTACTTGTAGATTCATAATTACATTGGCCAGATGTAATTCGAATATACCTTACACACTGATCCCTTAATTTATCATATTTATTTTCAGAGGTGCTAACTATGTCTAGGACCCCTAATATGCAATAAACAGTTTAAGTCTAGGCATCATGTTGTAAATACAAAAATCCCTTAAACTCAGGTTCTGATAACACTTCTATAACACCCCACATCTTACATTGCATATAACATATTATTCAATTAAAAAAATACATGTATTATTCCACTAAGGTCCAAAGTACAAGAAACTACAATACAAAACACACAACCCAAAAATTCCAAAATACATGTTCTTGTACTACATAACATTCAGCTTCAAAACACATCCATATATTGATCTTCACATAGCTATGCACAAAGGGAAACAAATTATATTTTCCCTTTTCCTTTACTATCGTTGTATTCAACTGTTCCTGCAATACATATTTAAAACAAAATTAGGGTTAGACCTGAAGGTCTAGTGAGATCCCTTTTTTCATGTAGTTGCAGGGTGAAGATCACCAAAACATTATTTAAAATCAACTTTTCACATAATGGAAGCATAAATCCATAATTCATTAAGACCAGCAACCCTCTGGTTGCAAAGACCAGATCCCCTCTGGTTTCTCTAACAAGAGCTTATGGTTATACCAACCAAAGTTCATCTCAAGTTATTCTTCATATAATTAAAGTCAATCACAAAGAATGGATAAAACAATTTTCAGGTATAAAAAGTATGAAAGAAGAAGTTTATGTATGACTAGAGCTTCTGGTTCTACTACCCAGAGCCTCTAGCTCAATAACCATGACCAACCAGAGCCCTTCTAGTTCAATGTGAAGACCAACCAGAGGCCCTCTGGTTTGTCCTTCTTTGTTAAAGTCATTTGTACAAGAAATTCTTCAAGTTTAAGATAAAAGCAAGAAGTCTTATGAATACTTTTTGAAGCACAATCCTTGACACAGAGCTTCTATATAATAGATACAGAGCCTCTGGTTTTAGTAAAAGATTTGTAAAAGACTTGTATCATAATCAAACCATTATCCAGAACCCCTCTGGTTCTATGTGAGGAACAACCACAGCCCTCTGGTTACTTTCAAGGAACAACCTAGAGCCTCTCTGGTTCCTCATAAATCAAACACTAGTCAAAAGCATAGTTTATCCAAATCCATTGGCCATAAGCCATGTTTTCTCTTCTCAATAACATCATTACTATCATTTCTAATAAGAGCAACATTCCTGAGTCCTCACAAATCACAAAGAAGTAAGAACTCAAAACTATTACAATCTTAAGAGACATAATAGCAAGACCTATAATAATAATCACACATACAAATGTCACCCTTATATCCAAAGGTATACCTCTCCTTGATATGCCACCCTTATATCCGAAGGACACTCTCTTTGATATGCCACCCTTATCCCATGGTACACCTCTCCTTCATATGCCACCTTTATTTCCTCATCGAAATCTATAGATTAGTTCCAAACGAAGACAGACCGAAGTCACAACCCTCTTGAAAGAACATCCATCTATAGTTTTAAACATCAAAATCTATAGATTAATTCCAAACGAAGGCAGACCGAAGTCACAACCCTCTTGAAGGAATATCCTCTATAGTTTTTAACCAATAATGGTTTCAAAACAGTTTTATCTCAAAACTTTGAAACTCAAGAACCAATTCATTTTCCAAACTCAAAATCTCCTTAAATCCTTAAAATATGATATCATCCTCAATTGTTTTAAAGAAGCAAAATCTTCTTTATTTCCCAAGAACAGTTTCCAAAACCCAAATTTATAAAACTCAACTTCAACTGTTAAAACAGTTTACCATTCTTCATCAAAATCAATCATCAAAACCATGTATTTCAAATAACATCATTTAAAG